TCTTGTGGCTCCGCGGTTAGTAAGACAACGAAGATAATTTTCGATGCCGCTGCACCCATCCCTCAAAGTGCTTTTCGTCAGCAGCAGCTGTTTTACCAGGGGCGAACACCACAGAAATCGTTCGCATCGCGGGTACAGGGGTGCCTCCTCTTTGAGCGTGACGTTGAGCGCAATACGTATCCAGCGGAATTTCTTTTGGAACCAAGAAACGAGCTCACAGAGCTATTCGTTCCTCAAGCTTAGCTTGTGTAGTGGCGGGGGGCCTGAGCACGTAGACGCCCAATGATTGTGTGATCGCGTTCTTCGCTTTTGTAGAAGGATCCGCTGAGCAAAAGCCGTATTCCGCACGATGGCCGTGGAACGATCTTGGGTGCGTGTCGTTAGATGACCTGCGGGCATCCAACTGCTGTCTTGGTGCCCCGTCGATGTCATTGGTAGTGATACCATTTCTCCGGAAATCGAGAGGTCGGGAAACGGACGCAGTGGGCAAGGTTCGAGCAGGGCTCACGTCGCGCCGCTGGCGCGCTTCGCCCTACTCGTCCTGGGAAAGGAGTATCTGACTCGCTCTCGATTTCCTCCAAATCCTCAACGAGATACTCCGTCGCCCAAGGCAGGCGCGGTGCTTGGTTGTCGAGGGCTTGAAATGCGCTTTCCTTGAAGCCGCGGACGTGCTGTCCGAAGTTGCACCGCGTGCAGGAGACGAAGAAGGGCTCTACCCACGGGCGCTCTCGGAACCAGCGTGGCTGGGTATTTTTCGTGTCCCTTGACACAGGGCTCATTGAGCAGAGATAGTGCAGAAGTTCCCGAAGATGTACGCTAGCCTCGTACGAGGCGACAGTCAAATGTGTTCAGAGATTTGATGGATAATAGTGTATCGAGGTCACAAGTACCATGGTTTGAAGGGGTGGGTCACACGAGATTATGTAATCATACAATGGTGTGGGTTACACAAGACGGTGTAATCACGCAATGTTGTGAATACACCTTAACAAGAAGTCAGTACGTGGCTGAACCGTCACTTGTTATGCATTTTAATTTGGTTTTATTATTTAGTTAGAAAAGCCTATAGACTGAGACGAGAAGGTGGCATTGCCGCAAAAAAAAACAAGAAATACAGCTTACATTTGAACGGAAGAGTTTGTTCGCCTTGCGTTAAGGTTGTGGTTACTCTTGGAGTAAGCAAGTTGCGATCCGCTACGCTCCTACTATTTCAAAGTATAGATTGAAGGTCACCGACTTTAGCTTGGCTTCCTCTAAGCGAAAGAGCTACGGCAGCCCCGCCGCACTGGCTGCTCCACTCTTCGCACTGACAGCTCTGCCTCCCTCCTCAGTTAGAGTCTCATCCGGTACCAATTGTTCTATTTCGGTGAGCTCACCGTTTCACATTTTTAAAATACCTGGGGGTGATTTTCAGCCTCAATGAGAGCTTCTGCCGGGGGCAACGTAATGGGAGTATTGCAACATTAGTATATATCCGGGCACTCCGTCTATGAGTGGACAATCTCTCGAAACATACCATGAAGCTTCGTAAGGTTGGATGTCACAGAGTAGCGCTAAGTTAACCTTGCCATTGCATCGTGTCAGCGTCTGATATTTCCAATACAGTCCCTTCAACTCTACAGCTCTGACACAAGCGACTCCGGCCTCAGCTGATCTCTACCTTCTTTGTAGAGAATCCACTAGAGATCAAGGCATACCGTCTCATTCCAGCGGAGAAAGTCCTAAGAGCCCAGAATTACTTCTCGCTTTTGTCTATTTTGTAGTGAAACCGCGGCTCACTGCCTCTTCTGCTTGTCAACCTCCGCTCCAAATACTTAGGAATGTAGTTTTTAGACAGCTTGGACTAATTAATGTCCTACCCTGATTTAGCGTAACTTTGTGCCCGCTTCAAAAGATTTTTCACCGTCTAGTGTACGTAGATTAAGGGTCGTTAGCGCTCGACTAGAATGTTCCCCTCAAACTTAACGTGTCGGATTTCCAGTCCATCCTGGGCGCGTATTGATGCAGCCACACCACGCCGTACCGCAAGGACAAAAAGAAGTATGGAAACTCGCAACTTGATGAGTGCCCGTGGCGGAGAACATTACCATGGTGAGAAGATAGAGATAGGGATCTTAGCTGTTAAGCAACTTCGTGGAGTTTGCATTGATCCACCTGTGGTCGTACATATCAATCGAGGTTTGCAAGAACGTTGAGATAGAGGTACGAATGGGTCATAGCTCCCGCGCGATGACGTCTGACGAGCTCCTCGTGGGTGATTGTAGAGTCTCAGATGGCTTGGTGAGAATACAAGGGGCCCTGTTGTGTCTCTTGGAAGATGTAATCGGTACGATTCATTGCTGAATGGAGCAACTCTCTCTCTAAGAAGTTTGTAGCTCACAATCTAGGGTTGTTATAAATTATTGGGTTTCTTAGTCTTTGTAAAGTCGTGAAAGCTTCTGTAGCGACATGAAATTACGTACGACACGCGGCTGCATAAAGTGTAGTGGCATTGAAGATTCCAAATACAGATATAGTATATATGTTTTGCGACGGGGGTATATCCAGCGTTCTTTCGAATCGTTCGGTAGAGTTGCTTCGTATCCGACATGAATGCAATTTACAATCCCAATCTGAAGGTTATAATCCGCATACAACGCGAAACCCACAACTTAATCAAAAAAGGTAGAATGGACGCAAAAGGTCTTGTGCGAGCATTCCTGTTTGATGGCTGCCATTCAACTGGTGGATGATACCGCGTCCAGGAGAGTGTCCGAGTCCATTGCGGTGATAAGAGTGATAGAGCTATAAACGACGGGTTATTGTTAGCTAGGCCCAGCCTTTCTTGACGGGTTGACAAGAACTTGGAACGCATCTAGTACTTCTGATTAGGCGCTGTGAACCTCTGCGACATATGGTATTTAAAATCCTCTCATGTTGAAGATGCCATGTTAACAGTGGTACTGCACGTCAGTGCCCATTCTCATGCACGGCTTCCTATATCGCAGCAAGTGAGGCGCGCTGTTGACCCGTCTCGAGCATGGCCTTTTCATAGTCATCTCAACTCTTTTAATTCAGAGATACTTTTGACCCCGTCTTCAAAACGCTGAGTGTTCAGTATCAGCGGTTTCCTACCACTGAAGTGCTCTCTCACAAACGCATTCTCATAGTCGATGAACGCCTTTTATTGAGCGATTGCCGCACCTGATGCTTTTAGTACCAGTCTTTGATGCTGTTGTGATCAACATTAGAGATATATAAGCTTACTTAGCGTGTCAAGCTGTCCTAGTGACAGGTCTCAAGAACCACGAATTCAATTTTACAGATGATATGCCCCTTTCGCGACTCGGTTTTAAGTGCGAACAGGTGCAACGATAGCCGCGAGCCTTGTACAGAGAGGTTCTGACACAGATATTTTGCATAGGCAAACGCACAGAGGTTGGGTAGGTATACCCCATTCAAACCGGAACCGAGAGCCTCTTAAGTATAAATGTCTTTCCGCTTCTCAACAGTGGCATATATTGATGATCAATTTTGCTAAAATAGATTCTAATTAAGCTATTCAATGATTAACTATCTTAATTGCTTGACGCAAGAGTACTAATACACGTGTGCACGGTCATCTCCTTTTCTTTAGTACAGCAGTTCAGTACTTCGAATCTTCACAATTTCACAAAAGTGTAATGTACAAATTCATTTTATGGTACAATATTTTGTTTTGCACAATTAGAAAATAGCGTAAAGTGTGCCCGTTACACTTGAATTAGCAACAGCATAGTTCATAAAATGAGTCCCAGCCCCGCACTTGGGGGAGCGTACGTATCCATCTTTGAGTGCTGTATACGCGGCAACTTGGATTCAAACGTTCTTTTGTCTAAGGCACACGGCGATCCTGCTGCATAATGTCTGATAAATGCTAACGGTGTTTAAGCTTGAGCTTATGAATTGCTCCAGTTTTTGTAAATAAATTACGAGCATAATGCATGTTCGAAATCAGTAACACCAGAGAACATTAATACAAAACTAGGTTGATGCTACTGAATACTCAGTCGAGGTGTTTTTGTGAGAAACGAAATAATTTTGTAGAGTAATGTCCAATTCCAGCAGAACTAGAGACTACGAGAGGAATGGCAACTGTCAACGATATCGGGGTATTATGAAAGCTGTCCTATTTACCAAGGTTGTCATGATGCTGATGAGACCTAATCGATGATCGTCAAAATGGTTGAGCTAGAGGAAAGCAATGCGCTTGATTAATTCGGTTTGAAAATGCGAGGACGATTCAGATCAGATGGCAACTGAATTATATTTCCAGCGCTCTGAGATTGATGGACTGGAGAAATTACATGATGCTTGTAAAATTACCGGGTTGATGCGTCATCCGCAAAACAAGAATCCATATCACCTTACCATCGTAGTCTACCAACTCGCTATAATTCTACTAGGACTACGTAGACCTTAACCATCAGTTGTACTCAAAGTAAAGCAGCGATTTTATATCCTGGTAAAGGACAGAATGATTGAACACGTCTGTCAGATACTCAACGTCTTGAAGAAGACACATTGCTTATTATTTGATCCAATCCCAGCCAGAATGATCTTTAATAAGTTCAATAAACGGCAAAAATGGCCCTTGTAACTATACCCCCAAGCGTTTGAGGAAGAGATCAACACAGCAAAATTGCTAGAAGGTGGTACGGTAAAGTTTGAGTAAGAGTCAATACTGATTAATTTGTACTGATGACAATCAGAAAATATATCAATTACATCTCCTCATCTCGATCAACGGCTACTTGTCGATTGTGCCGTGTGCAGCACAAGACCCACCAGACGGTTTGAATAGCCCCACTCATTATCATACCACGCGACATGCTTCACGAGTTGTCATCTATATTACTGCAAGCATCCGCATCAAATGTGCTCGAATGCTTGTCATGAAGAATGTCATTTGACACCACCTGGTCCTCCGTGTAGCCAAGGATGCCAGCCAATTCACCTTCCGAAGCGGCTTTAACGGCAGCCTAGATCGCTTCCATTGAAGCTCCTTTCTCCTGGCGGCACGTCAAATCCATCACAGATACATCCGAAGTTAGGACACGGAAAGCAATGCCCGTCAATTTACCATCAATACCTTGCCCACGGTCTTGGCTGCGCCCGTTGACGACGAAACGATGTTCTGGCCGCAGCCACGACCACCACGCCAGTTTTGCTTTCTCTGCTAGGACCGTCAACAAGGAGCTGCGTGGCCGTCGTCGCGTGCACGGTCGTCAGTAGACCCTCCACAACGCCAGACTTGTCATTGATCACCTTTGCCAAGGGCGCGAGACAATTCTTCGAACACGACGCATTTGACACGACGGGAGCCGAGCCGTCATAGTCTTTGTGGTTCATACCCATCACATAAAAGGCCTGTTGTCCTTAGGTGGCGCCGATATTACAACTTTTTTGTAGCCACCATCAATGTACGATGAACACGCCCGTTGACTCGCATACGTACGTAGCTCCAGCTTTACCCCACGAAATTCCCGACGGGTTACGTGCGGAGAAGACTTGAATAACCTGACCAGTTATAACTAGGTTGCCAATCTTGGTCTCGACGGAGTCGTTGAACTTGCGATGGGTTAAGTCATATTTGAACAGATACGCCATGTACTCCAGGCCCATAAATGGTTCGTTAATGGCCACAAACTTGGTCTTTGGGTTTTCAATGGCAGCACGCTCCATACTTGCTGGGTCATAGTCACTTCATCGAAGATCTCTTCAACTTGTTCACTGTGGGTTAAACTATCGGCTTTGATCACTATGGAATAATTGTTTGGCTTTATTTGCATTGGATTGTTTGTTTGTTTGACCCGGTGGCGTGGGTCGAATGGTCAATGCTTTTGGACCTTACGCTGTGTGGCGCG